TTTCCTTTATATTTTATAGTCTGATAAATGAATTTTTTTTTTTTTAGAAAAGACTGTATACACAGATTACAAATGCAAAACCTAAACATGCTCTCTGTTTTAAACAGCTATGGGGAAAATGCGACAAAAGGCTAATTTTTCCACATCAGAGTGGCCTAAAGATATCTACACATAACAGCATACATTTCTTATCAGGCAGCATTTTCAAAGAGGGAAACCTGTGAAATTATACTCATAGCCATTACTTAAGCAAGTATTAAATGGAACTAAATGGAAAACCAAAAGATAAGATGCTCAGAGTTAAGGGGCAGCTGTGATCAGTCAGTGTTTAAAAAGTTAGCAGAATGATACTGAATGCTAAATTGTATCACTGCCTTCAGGGCAGGGAATAGAGGATCTAATTTTTCACATGAAGAGCAACATTATTGTATTACTTTTTAAAGGTGAGTGGTGAAAAATCCTGTTCCTATTTGTAAAAAGGCAAAATAATATTTCTTACAATACTTCTTTTAAATATATCCCTCATTCTGCCACTTTAAATTCTAGTACCTTTCTTCTAAAGAGTTTAATTGAAGAGATCTGGCAGTGTTTTATATTTAACAAAGACATCCTTTGATTCAAGAGTTCATTAGTCAGTGGAATTAAAAAAGTACTAAGAAACAAAAAACAAAAGACTTGTTCAGTTTTCCTCTCCTGAGATGTCATAATCTATCATGAACAAGATTTAAATTTCTAGCATGTACAATATATAAAGCAAAAAAACCAAACAAACCCACTTTCAACAACAGAAATCAAATGAACAAAGTCTATTTTTTTCTATTTTGAAAAAAGTTATGTTTGTGGTTACTATTATTTTCTCTTCCAATTTACCCACACTGTACAATCGCATACATTGTTCAAGATTATATAGGAAATAAGTAATAAAATTTAGGAAACAACATGTTTAATGAAATGATAGCACTACCAGATTTGAGTGGCAAAAAAAACCTAAAGGCTAAATGAAGGCAAGTAAAAGATACAGAAATCTTTATCACCCATCTAGTAGTTTTCTAAGATTTTTGCAGTATAGTTCTGATAGCATGAATAGAATACATATTTTTTTAAAAGCACACAAAACACTGAATGAAGTGTTAGGTAATGTTGGAATTATGGAACAAATTAACTGGATGTGTGGCATAACTCAAGATCAATATTATAAGCAAATAGTATCATCAAACCATATTGAATTCAAAATTTAAAAAAGCAGCAACAGCGCTTCACCTTTTCAAAGAGCAATAAACTTCAGTTTGTCACTCACTATTCAAGAAAGCTTCAGTTAATCTTGATTGATTTATACCTTCAGGACATCGATTATCACCTTTAGGCTCTTTCATTCAATATGTAATGTGTCAAAATGTCCTAGTTACCAAACTGAAAAGATTCATAATTATACAAAGACTGTGGGTATTTATTGGCGCCAGCCTGTAGGAGGAGGTCTCCTTAGCGATTTTTAGAACAAACAAGCCAGCCAAGAAGCCATTCATGTGAAAAAGCTGATGAGAAGTAATAGAATGCGATTTCTTAAACACTGTGAAAAGGACTGTTTACTCTTAAAGGCTTGCAAGTTTTTTTAAACAAACACAAAAAGATTATTCAATGCTTATAATTTTGTTTTTCATTAGTAACTTCAAAAAAATATGTCCACAAAAACTGCCGCTTTAGATGCAGTCTATGACATTTAATCCCATTAAACAAACTTTCAACCCTCTCCAACAAAAAGCAAAATATATTGCAGTGGATAGAAACAACAGAAAAGACATTTAAACAGCCTACTTAAGCTTAAGTGGTGCTCAGATCTTCTGATTCCAAGCACACTCTAACTTTTCAGCAGAGAGAAGAGCCAAAACTGAATTGCAATTTCTCTTGCTTATCAAAGACAGAGTTGTTTTAAAAACTATTGATCTGCATTCTCCCCATATGTCTCTGCTGAGTTAGCAGACTCCTTCCTCTGACCAAAAAAAACCCTCAAAACCATAACAACATCTTGCTATGTAGGTGATGATTCAATTATATAATCATCTACTCTGGATTTAGTTTTTCTTTTTCATAAGATGAGCATCTTTAGGAAATTATTTTCATGATCCATGGGCCATTTTTATATTATACTTTGTATTAATGTAATCTTTTCCCCTTGTTCACGTTTTTAGTAATATTTTATAAATTTTTAAATACAACTAACCCATATCTTCTGCTATCCAGAATATACAATACCCAAATTTGTATAGCCAAATGAGTGAGCCAATGATCATATTTTCTAACAAGCTTTTTCGAATTTGAAAATATAGAAATGTTGTTGCTTTTAATACAGTTAGTCCTTGGCTTACAACAACAATTGAGCCCAAAATTTCTGTTGCTAAGTGAGATAGTTAAGTGAGTTTTGCCCCACTTTATGACCTTTTGTGCCACAGTTGCTAAATGAATCACTGCAATTGTTAAGTTAGTAATATGGTTGTTAAGTGAATCTGGCTTCCTCCCTTACTTTGCTTATCAGAAGGTCACAAAAGATGATTGCAGGACCCTAGGACACAACCAACATAAATAGGAATCAGTTGTCAGGCACCTGAATTTTAATTACATGATCATAGGGATACTTCAATGGCTGTAAGTGTGAAAAAATAAGTCATAAATCAGTGCTGTTGTGACTTCAAACAGTCACTAAATGAACGGTTGTAAGTCTAGCACTACCTGTACTGTACTGTCTGGATTGCCAGTTGCTTTGGCCTTTCTTCAGCCTTATAGTCCCAGAAGGAACTGCCTGGCAAGAAAGAGACATACCTGGTCCCCTCCATTGGCCAAAAAAGGAACACCAGAAGAAGGGATACAGAGAAAAAAGGAAGCTGTGCAGAATAGGAAACCCGCTTCCCCCCCAAAAAGTCATGAGCCAAATCTGCCATTACAGTTTCAGAGTTATTTTTTTTAATTACCACAAAAAGGACTACAAAATACTTTTTATAGTCTAATATGGGTTAATCTATTATAAGTGACCCATAGTTTACTGAAACATTGCAATCTTACTGCAAATAATCTCAGGTTCAATCAGTCACTGCTACCTCAGATAGAAGGTGTCCTTGCATTCCCATACAACTCTAGAAGACAGTTATCAGTCAATGCAGGCCATTCTCTTTCCTGCCCCTCAGGGTAGTCTGTTGCGTAAGATTGAAGCAAGCAGTGGCTGGGTCCAGAGCCAAAATTAGATATAGATGCTCTTTTTGTCAGATACCTCTTTTATTTCTTTCTGAAACTATACTCTCTCTATTCCATGCTGCAGGCTGCAGAAAAAGGTCACCACTCTTAACAAAGGCCTAAACCAATTTTCTGTATTTGGCTTTGAGATTAGTTCAAAGGCTGCATGAAAATTAGTGGTATGGCCTCAGGTTAGCTAACAGTAATTTATTGAGTGGATCAGTTGCTAGACTTGGGCAAACAATACCTTTTTTTGCTAAACAGAGACAAAATGGGTATTCAACAGTATGATACAAGATAAATTACACTATTTTTAGACCTTCAGCAGGTAGTGCCTGCAGAGACCATCAGATAAGAAACACCACCAAGGAACACTCCTACGTTTATAATCTGTAGAGGTCATAAACTGAACATTCATTCACATTTTGTCCAACTTTCTTCACTTCTCTGGAAAAGGAAAGTGTTAGTACTATTGAAATAACATGCCATTTGCTCAACATTATTTGCCACTCTCTGGTAATAACCATGGCCACAACTACTCCACAGATCATTCTATATCTTTCATAAACTTATGCATCTTCTTTTATGAGGGTCTTTCAAGAGCTGGACATATGATTGGAACCATCAAATACAAATCATTAGCAATGCAAACAAGTAAATAACTAAAAATGGACTTCTCCTTAAGTCATGACTGATTCTTGATTGAGAATCTTGGATAGGTGTTTTTTTTTTTTTACAGAATTACCGAAGTGTTTGCAAATTATTTCTTCCAGGATTTCCCCCTCATGCCTCAGTCCATCCACAGCCCCTTCCTTTGAAGGGTGGGATATTATAAAAACACAATTAAGAGAACAAAACTGTTTCTTAATTTTGCCTTATTTTTAAATAACACAGCACAATGCTAAAATAGATTGCTGATTACCGTTTTGCTTTACTTTTTTAAGGAGATACTTGAATATCTTCCAGGTATCAGGAAACAAAACATCCCAACTAATTATTTTTAAATGCCACACTCAGCCACATAAATCAGATGAGAGAACACATGAGCATGACAGCTGGTGTTACAGCAGTATCTTTCAAGTGGTTTTTTACAACAGCAAAAATTCCCCACTGAAAAGAACACAGTTTAGTTATCTGATTACCAAGAAGATCAATAACTGCTCTTCAATTGCAAGGGTTTCTTTTTAAAGAAACAACCACCAGGTGATTCCTAAGGAATGGGAACCACAGCACTTTAATATTACTGGAAATTAGAAATCATTCTAAAAATCCGTTTGGTAGCATCGCTATGCAGAGAATGTAATGCCAGCTAAATAAGAAACGGTGCATTCATTCAAGGAAGATATTGTTCTAATTTAAAAGAAAAACTTTCTTCCATGGAGCTTTTTTATCTGGCAAGAAGAGTATGGTGGAAATGAAAAGAATGTGAAGGGTCAACAGCAAATCTCTTGCTTTTTATAACAAACCCCAATGAAATCAGCAATGCCTCCCTTAGGCTAAGAGCATACAATCTGTTATTCCGCACTTATCGTCTGTTGGGATCGTCAGTTATTTGAGCTCACGCTAAAACAAGTTTAGTTTACAAGCAGGAATCGCTTAAGCCAGGACTTGGGGTAGGAGAAGGGGAGCGTGAGCATCATCCTTCCGCCCCTCCCTCCTTTCCGAACCAGAGCAATCAAAATTACAAACGTTCTCCGGATGCTAGATCTAGTTCAGCGGACCTTGGAGGGTGCGCCTTCAAAGGACTTGAAAAGGAAAACGAGCATACTCTCTCTCACCTGCTAGGCTTCCGGGTCTCTGCAAAGTGGCCGTGGCATATAGTTCCTGGGAGTGTTTGCTGTACTGCTCGGAAGGGTGGACCAGCCTCTTGGTGGGCGAGAGGGTCGCGTAGGTGCCGATGGTGGAGCTCAGCTGATGAATGGGAGAGGAGATGTTGGACTGGATGGTGGGAGGGGAGGTGACCCGGATCGGAGAAGGCGAGAGCCCCGCCGAGGAGACGACGATGTTGATGGGCGAGCTGGTGCTGTAGGACTTGGCGAGGCGGCTGGGCGACTGCTTGGGAGACGAAACCCGCTGCGTGGTGCCGTAGCCCCCGCCGCCGCTCTCGGAGGCGGAGTCCGCCCGCTGGAGCTTGGTAGGCGAGCCCACCTGCTGCATGGACAAGGGCGAGCTCACTCTCTGCGCCGGCAGCGTGGAGCTGGAGTAGTAGAGGGCCGGCGAGTGTGGCTGCTGCGAGGAGGAGGAGGAGCAGGAGGAGTCCGGCAAGTGGAAAGCGCTCCCATGGCTGGGCGCGAAGGTCTCCCTGGCCAGCGGCTGCGACGGGGGTGGCGGCGGCTCCGAAGTGGCGAGGTGGGCAGTCCGGCCAGTGGTGCCCTGCGAAGGAGGGGGATGGGCGGGGAGAGTGAGTGAGAAAAGAGGCAGACGAGAGGCGGTCAACGGAGGAGGCGGTTTTGACCAGCTCACTCCCATTCCGCCCTCCCCCACCCCGTCCGGAGAACCGGGAAAGCAATTCAACGCGCCCCGGCCGCACATTTTTTGAGCCTTTGCCGCGGCCGGACCCCCATTGCCTTGAAAATAAGCAATTACTGCGCAAATGCTCTTGCTACATAGGATGAGGCTCGACTCATTGCTCACTCCTTAAGCAGGTCTCGAGCATCTGGGGTCTGTCTGTCTGTCTGTCTGTCTCTCTCTCTCTCTCTATCTCTTGGTTTGATGTTAAATAAAGTTCATCTTCGTCCCCTTTACTCGAAGGCTGTTCTACTATATTAACTCGAATTTGTCTCTTATGGTAACTACGGCCGCATTTTTAGCATCCTGTAGCCGAAATAAGATCGTCTAGTGTTTAAAAGGTTCGGCTTCAAGGTTTTTTTCCTCTTTCCTCTCTACCCCGAAGCACGGTTGGAGAAATGGGCAAGAAAACGACTTTCACCGCTAAGTTTATACTCTGAATAATAATCGTATCTGTGTAAAACATAAGTGGCACAAAGTGTATTGTGCACTTAAAGTAATTTTCTTCCTTAAGAGGGTCTTGAGAATAGTTTACTGGGATATTCAAATAGCCCTTGTTGTAAATCTCACTTCTTAGGGTATTTCTGGGGGGAGGGCCTTAGCTGATACACTAGCATTACAATGTTATTCTAAAGATACTGCATTTTGTGCAGCAACTACCGTAAATGTATTGCCTACAGGAAGAATTACTAGTAATCCCTCAGTTCTGTTGTATGCACTGTCACATTTACAGTTTTTCATGCAGGTGTTAGATAGAATGTCAGAAATGATCTAGCCTGGGGTTTGTCACTAACTGCAGTAGAAATATTTATTATCCTCATTTACAGGATTATAATAAACTGTTTTGTAAAATGATAACATAAGGCAGTAGAAGAAATACATTTATTTGTACTCTCAAACAATTGGAGTTTTTTTCTTTTGACTTACCAATTAAAAAAAACAAAGCAAATACTGATTTAAATGTCCCTTTTGAAAGCAGTCAATATTTCTATAATAGCATGTTCTCCAGTATGTAAGACAAGCAATAGGATACTTGGCACATTGTCCTACTTAGAATTCTTGGATAGGATTCTAGTTCTAGAATATTAATCAGTGCATCATCAATTGATCTCAAGGTTTCTTGTGATACACCTAGGTCAGTGATGGCTAACCTTTTTGTCGTCGCGTGCTGAAAGTGCGTGCATACATGTGCATGTGTGCCTGCACCTATAATGCGAAGCGTGAATGACTGTGCCCCTGCGCATGCACACGTGACCCCTTGCTTCCTTATCCCCTTGCGCATGTGCGCATGACCCCCCTCACCTCTGTGCATGCGTGTGACTTTCCCGCATGCCCCACACATGCATTTTAGATACCCGACAATCAGTTGACTGGTGGGACGTGTGCACGCATGCGCAGTGGACCTGATCTGAGGCGATGGCTTGCATGCCAGCAGAAATGGCTCTGGGTGCCACTTCCAGCATGCATGCCATAGGTTCGCCATCATGGACCTAGGTAGAACCTCACCTTGAATACTATTCCCTACATTCTAGTTGGTAGAAACAGTTGCTGAAGCACAAATCCTCTTGCATAGCAGAAACAAGTTGGAGAATCTGTTTTCTGACTTCTTAGAACTTCTCTTAGCCTTGAAACAGCTGGCTAGCTCATGGGTCAAAATTTATTTTATCTAATTGTTTAAATGCAATTAGAAAAAAAATCATCCAAGATTTTTCCTACTGTTTTTCAATCTGATAAATATGCTTTTGAAATTTCTTTTGGAAACGCGAACTTCTGTGAAAATCTTATGGAGTATGGTGACTTTGCACAGTTGAGAGGTGTATATGAATATCATCTCTTTCCAGGTACAATCTTTTATCTACCCTTTCTCTCCATGCACCAAATCCCCAAAGGCTATTTCAGATAGAAAATGATGATAATGAGAGAGGCTTAAAAGCAAGTGAAAGATGCAAATTTGTAACAGAAAAGAACAAAACTCGCTGCGGTGGCACTTTCTTACCACTTCAATAAGGTAATTCAAAAACTTCACCAAGATAATTTTTTAAAACCTCTTAATGGATCCCAAGAATAAGATTTTAGTTTGTTGTTATAGCTAATTTTAAATTGCTGTTCACTATTGAATATCAAGTGGACAGCTTTAGAAATCAATAGATAAATCTTTTCTGGGAAGAAAACTGAGGAATTTCAAGTGAGGATCTATTTGCCCATTCTTCATCAGTTCATACACAGATGGAAGGGGAACCTGGATGCAGTCATATTAAGAAGCAAAAGGGAGTAGGCTGTTTTCTTTCTTTTCAAAGGAGAGTATGGACTGTGACATGTATCCATAGAAATATTGTATATTGCTATACCTGAATAAATGTTTGTGTAGAATCAGTTTATATCATACAGTAAATATGGATGGCTTCTTGTTTACAGCTGATAAAGTTAGCAAGGGTTAAAACATTTGTCTTCTACCTGATGTTCCCCAGATGGGTTGGGAGTCCCATTCTCAGCCAGTAGGCATTGGCTGGAAATTTGGGGAATGAAAATTATATAATACAACTGGAAGACACCAGATTTAGAAAATGTGTTGAACAAATTCATGTAGGATAACTGTGGTAAGGTTAGCTCAGCCTTGAGTTTAGAAAAGGGCATGTTTGGATACTAGTTGGAGCAAGCAACATGCATCATATAAATTACCATCATCTGGATGGATGGCATTAGTAACAGGATGCTAGACTACATGCATTTTTTTTGCTGATTCATGGTAAAGTTTTGTCATTCATCTAAATATATGACTTCAGTTTGATTCTAGAGATTGAAAATAATCGCTGAGATTGCAACATGCATTTTAAAATTTAAAAGCATCTATGAAACTTTCAATGTACAAAACCACTCTGAGAAAGCTAAAAATAAAAGGCAGTGTGGACTGGTGTGGGCATCCTCTTTGCCAATTGGATAGGACCTAATTATTTTTATAAAATAGTAGCTGGGTTCAAATCCAATTCCTGAAAATGTAGAAGGATTTTGTTTCAACTTGAAATAAATATTACAATGAAAACTGAAGTGAATTAAGGAGAAGAAAATGTTAAAAAAACAAACAAACCCTAAAACACTAGCTTTGCACACAACCATCTAGTTCTTCATCTCTTGTGTTCTCTGTTTCAATATGTATACCAATATGGGTATGTGTGTATGTGCATGCATACGGGCATACAGATATCTTTTGTATACAAGAATCTTATACAACTACCCGTTCCAAACTGAAAAAGTTATTATTTATTTACCAGGAATATAAGAAAGTGAGGGTTGACATGGAGCTGTGGAAAATTTTGAAATCAATATTGGATCCAATTCAAATAGAAATTTCATCTTGAATAAAAACCATACCTTGTGAGACATATCTGCATGAGGTTATAGGACCTCCCCAGTTATATATGGAATTTGCTTTAAATCTTGTAAAAAAGATAAGGAGGAAAACAAAGTTTTCAGCAGTTGCTTCCTGTTATAAATTTCAATTATGTGCCTAAACCTCTTCTGGAACACTAAAGAATAAAATATCTTTATCTCTCAATGTAGACGGCATTTTAGTTTCTATCAGACATTTTAGGCTGAAGGGATTAACCAGAGCTGTTAATCTTGTAACATTAAAATCCTCTAATAACTGCAACTGGATTGAGAGATAGCTAAGCATTCCATCAAACAGCACACTCTGTTTTTAAAAATATTTTTTATGGCAACACCCCTTTCTGTTTGTTTTTCTTCAACATGTAGACATTTCATCTGAAACAATGAAGAGTGCCTTTAAATATTGGAAATTGACACTTTTCTTTCGTTTTCATTTTTTCTGTTCAAAATCAAATAGAGAAGTACAATAAAAGAGAACAGATACATTCTTGCCAAAATTAGGGATTTTTTCAGTGAAAATTAATATAAAATATCTTTAATATCTCTTTTCATCCCAGATGAATTTTGCTTTATTTTATTCAACCCATAACCATTATAATGGTAAATTTGCAATTAACTGTGGCTTTGTATAACATGCAAAGCTATTTGTGAATCAGTAAACCAGATTATGGCTCAGCATATATGATCTGCAAATTATTTCAGCAAGCTTAAGGATGTGTATTTGGAAATAAATAATAATAAAAAATATGTGTTTCTCTTCAATGTTTTCTATTAAATGAGCCTGCAAATGTTTCAAAGCAATGTTTTTTTTAAATAGGTAGATTTTTTATATTAAAATATTTAACAATTAAGATTGTTTTAACATGGATTTAGAATACAATCAGGTATTTCAAATACAGTAGGTTGGGCATGTATTTCTGGTTATTTTATTTTGATATGAATGATTGCTTTATTTCACTTCAGGATAAATCTCTTGAAATATTCAATAGGAAGCTTTCTGGATTTTGCACTGGTTTCCCTCTCTTGGGCTCCGTGGAAAGTTGATAGGCTTTCAGTTGCAGTATTCCTTACCAGTGCATAACAGCTGAAGTCTAGAAATTAAGGAACTGGGAGTCTACATTTCATGGTCTTTTCCGTTGTTTGGAACAATATATTCATAAAGATATCACAGATACTGGGGAGATCATAGAACATGCTGAAGTTGTTTTTAATATGACCTTTTCAACTGAATATATGGAGAAGTTCAAACTGGTATACAATGGGGAGTACACGTTGACCCCATTTAGTTCTCCCACAACTGAAGATATGAAGAAGAGCTTTAGTATCCGAGGGACATCTCTCCCACTGTGAAACTGCATAATTACTCCGATCACCAGGAGAGGCCCTTTTGAAGATGGCATTGATACTATAAATTCAGCCATTTGGAAGATGGAAACAGATCTTCCCTATATGACTCTCAGAATGCTTTCTCCAGGGAT